ATGTTATATTATCTGTATGAAATCACATGTAGAAAATGAAAGAGGAGGAGGAAGAGGAAAACACATTTATGTTTCTACCCAGAACAAACTGACATCTTATACTGCCAGGTCTTCTACACACCGATCTTTGGCACAGGTTTTGATTTTGTAAATGGATGAACTCAGGGCCCAAGCCAGATGTGGGGCTCACTTCTGCAGTTCCAGCACTCTGGGAGGCTGAGGCAGGAGAATCCTGAGTTCAAACCCAGCCTGGGCAACTTAGCTGGGACCTGTCTAAAAATTTTACAAATGGAGGCCCTGGGGGTGTGGGGCATGGTCCAACCTTAATCCTTCCAGGGCGCCTGGAGGGGAGGTTTCGTCCCCAGGGACGGGATGGTGCATTTTGTGTATCCTGTGTCGTGGGTCCCATGTCCTGTGTCCCCAGTAGCAGGGTCCTGCTGCTCAGGAGTGGAATCTGGGACCCATAGGGTCACAGGAGAACAGGGGCTGGGGAATCATCAAAGAAGGAGAGATGTCAAGGGGAGCCAAGGTCTCCATGGAACGGTGGCACCGAGGAAGGCTCAGCTTCCAGAGGCCAAGGCAGGAGGATCGCCCCAGCCAGGGACAAAAGCCAGGCCCCAGCCAGCGAGTCTGCAACCTGACCTGGTCCCCGAACTCTTGTGCCAAGCAAAGCAGGCTGGGTGAGGCAGGAAGGTCAGGCGCCGCCCAGGAGACAAGCGAGTGTGGATAAACCTACGGTCGAGTGGGTCCGGGGACACTGGGCCATAGGTGCGACCAGGCACTTGCTCCCTGCCCACATGGAAGCACTAGTGGATGGCGGGGGACAGACACTGAGCACCCCGAGTGCCACCTGTGTAGCAGAACTTAGATACTTAGTATTGTAAAGGGGCTCAGCCTTTTCCACGGTCACAGGCTAAGGTTTGTCTGCAAGGCAGGCTGGGTGGCTAGTCACAGGACTCCCTCCCACTTGCAATGTGTTCTGTGCAGAGTTGTGTTTTAATAATTAAGTTGAAAAAACAACCAGCTTATTATAATACTCAATTACTAAAAGCAAACTTCAAAATGTTTGAATATAGAAAATTATAAGATTGATCAAATTGGACTGTAAATCATATATAGCTGGATAGATATTGGGCTGAAATGTTTCCCCATTTGATTTTCTGGCCCAATAACAGAAAGGCAAAAGCTTGCTCCTTCTTCAGAAAAACCCTCAGAGTCACAGCAGCTCATGTGTTGGGCATTCCAGGGCTCAGGCATAGCGCAGTACACACGCAACATCCGTGTCCACATTTTCTGTCCTTAAACACACAGGCAGCATGGGAAGTGTGCAGAAACATGATAATGGAAAATAAAAGACAGCCGGGGGGAGTTGCTGTGAGGAGCACACTTGGATGGCCAGGGAGGGTCCCCTGCACTTGGTAAAGGGAAGGACCAGTCACATGGCTCAGTGACAATGAAGGGGACACATGCTGGCCCTTCAGAGAAGTCTTTCCTCCAAGGGACCTGTCTTGTGCATGTGTCACACAAGGGTGCAGAGAACCCCGAAGAATGGCCATGGGAGAGCATTTCCAGGGCCACCCCAATGTACCTGGCAGGGTTTGACAAATTATCAGCGTGCATACAGCAGCAAAGATCACATTAATTGTGCAAGAGCATGCCAAATGAAAGTTTCATCTTTCAATATAAAGCTGTTTGTATCATTGAAAGCTCTGTTATTGTGGTTTTTTCTTTTAAGACAAGAGTTGTT